TGATGAGTTCGGGCGCAAATTTGGATAGGCGGGTGAATTGACTCTCATATTCCGCCACAGTCTGAGCCCCTTGCCGGAGCCGGATAAACTCGTCCTCCTTCCTCTCCTGGACTAGAGGAGGGAAAAACTTTGCATTAAATTCTCGGATGAAGTTCACCCAAGTCCTAGGCGTCTGCTCCCGCTCCCATTTCTGTCTAATTACGTTCCACCAGGAACGGGCAGCTCCCTCCAGTTGGAACACGGCAAAAGTGACCTGCCTTTCGTCAGGGTAGTGTAGGGCCGCGAATATATCAACCATTTTCTCAAGCCACTTCTCAGCAACGTCGGGGTCGGGTCCCCCAATAAACTTTGGCGGGGAAAACTTTTGAAAACGTTCGAGAGCTCTATCCTCGCTCTCGACGTGGTTACCAGGGTTCCCGGGGTTAGGGTTTGGGTTTTGGCCCTGTTGTTGTACTACTTGTGCTAGTAGGTTTGTCATTTGCTGCATAGCGGCAGCTATCTGCACATTGGGGTCTATTTGGGATTCAGGATTGGGTCCAGTAGAGGTTTCCCCCGTTTCCCTAACCGGCGTGGGTTGTCTAGTTCCGCGCCCACGTCCCCGACCACTTCGTGTTCCTTCCATAAGTTTCACTCGGTCTAGGCAAGAATGCTAAACCAAAATAAGCACGATGCATGTAAGTAACACTCAAAACTTTTATGATAACACACATTTATACATTCCAAACAAGATCAACGCATATATACAAGCCGGTCAAAATTAGGCCGCACACATACATACAGCCAGTTAAGTCAAGTACAAACATAGACGATCCACCGAGGAATGGCCTTTCTAGTTCACCAAATCCTTTCTAACCTAGGCCCTCATATCTTTCGTATCCGGGCGCAAGAATCCCATCTAAGATAATTCACAACTCGAGCCGGCCGGTCCCAAGAGTAAACCATCCTTATTAAAGATTCCTACCCGACATACATACCTAGCTTCCTCGAGTCCTATGATAATGATTCGTACACTTATCACATGCCCGGTTCATAACTTACGCTCAAACGAGCACTTAGACATATTCATGAAATTAGGACCACAACACCACTTGGCCCAGTCTCACTCCGCGCAGAGACCACGCGAAGTGGCTCTGATACCAATTGTAACAGTTCTCAGGGTCACATTACAGGGTACCTATCAGCTTGCCACCCGCACGCGGCATCCCCTACGGAGAGTTTCGCTTCGTGACTCTTCACGAACGAGAGGCTCGGGGCTTTTCCAGTAAAAGGACGTAGAGTCCCAAACCGTCGGCATATGGCTCTGAACAATTGTAACAGCCCCACTTTCCCCTAAGGCGAACCAAAGGGGTTAGCGGACTGCTGCCCAGCTCTCGCCAGGACTACGGATCAGATTAGAGCTATCTATTGCGATCCGGAACTTACAAACGAGCGTAAACAGGTCAAAATGGTAAAATAACCCAAAAGAAAAAATGAAATCCGGAGTCGGTCATGAATAGTAACCGATCCGTCAAAACCCAACCGAAAGAGCACGCAAACATTCACATCTGAACTTTAGCGATTACAATCCAAAAGGACATACAAAAGTTTTCAAAAGTTAATACATATACACGGTTTGCCAAATCAAAAGAGAAACGCCCCAAAAGTATACTTAGGGTTAATACATGAGCTATACAAAAGATATGTTCAACTAGCTCAATTTGGCAGCCATTTGTCAAATCCAGACCAAAAGGGCAAAATTTTCCTGTAAGGAAAACAAAAGGAACAGAAAGGGTGAGCTTGCGCTCAATGAGGTACCAAACAGATAGCATTGAAATCATGGCATTTCACATTTAACAAATCAGACACACATGTCAGATGTAAAGCAAAGGAACCAATGATTCAAATCAGAAGGATACGGGTGGCTCTCAGGAGCCAAATTTCCAGCGCAATACTTGATCCAAACCGGTTGACTCTCCGTCAACGTATATAGAACCAACGCGTCCGTAGACCCTCTTATCACCGAATTCCGTCCACCAAACACCCTTTACCGGGCCCGCTCACCTCAAACGAACAAAATGGTAATACTCGAGTATACCGGAATCAAGGGTCTCAATACCCAAAATCCCGAACAGACTACCGTGGTTCGTTATCTAATCGTCCAGGCCTTGCCGGCCCGACTCGAATAACTTAGCCACAGGATTGAGCTCATAGGTCATAGAAATCCGAACAGATGCAGACACAGATAACAGATTCAGATACAGATACAGAATTGCAGATTCAGATAGCAGATTCAGACGGCAGATTCAGATAGGCACTCAAAATTGGCATATGGACAGACAAGAGAACGAGTGTGATAAAGTACACCTCGTCTCAAACAAATTAAACAAATTGCAGAGCAGAAATCAAGTTAAACAGCAATGGAGGGGAGTGGTACACTCACCGGCTCAACTTCAAAAGTTTTCACTTCAGATTGGCCTTAATCGCCAAGAAACCCTAAAATAACCAAAATAAACCAATTGAAGGTTTTACTTCCAGAATCGAGTAAACAGAATGCACATGTGAGGCTCGACTACACGTCGTACGCCTTGCCAAATAAATACTAGTACAAGAATGCAAAACACGATTCCCTTGGAAACGAAAAGGTAGCATGAAGACCTAGGCGCAAACAACCCAAAAGCCCTTTCATTTCTACCAAAAGGCAAATCCAACTTAAAAGAACCAAACGGCCTAGAAAATCGGGCAGCACTTCCCCTAAATTCTTACTTTTCAGCCATTAAGGCTTCATTATTTCCTCAAATCAGCCCCAACATTTCACACCAAAGGTCATCTCATTTCCCAAAAGCCGTACAGGGCTCAAAGTGGTACAAGTACAAAAGTTAGCTAGGAAACAACCAAAATGAAAGCAAGCCCTAAGAGAGACTCGACGACGAGTCATAAAACAATGTTGAACACAACCCCAATAGGGTCTCATATGCATAAATAAGCATGATAGCAAACCAGAATTAGAAATAGCATTAGTCTTGGCCCCAAATAGAAAAACTGTTTTGCCCTTATTTTGCGGTAATGGCGTCAAATTCACTACGATTATCGGATGGGGGTGTAAGACCCACCGTTTAGAATCCAAGAAACATAGCTACAACAATGTAGAAGGTCACTCAATCCAGTTCCTAACACAACTAGGTCAAATATGCAAAATACTATACCAGAATTCCCAAAACAGGTTTGCAAATCACACAAAACTGTAATTACTATAAATCAGTCTATACAAGTCCAAATGCCGAAATTCCAAAGGCATATGATAGCTAAGACATCCAGTAACATTTCATCAGAAGACACCAACTTCAAAATCCAAACCAAATCCAGTCAAAATAGGCAATTACTATCGCGGTTCCGCACATTCTGTTCACCAAAAATAGCAACAGTAAAAACGGCATAACTCTCTCTATACTACTCCAAATGCCCTGAAATTTTGCAGGAACTTCATACTCACAAATACCTACAACTTTCATGTTTTGAGCAAAGTCCAATTCGGCCGCTAGCTATGACCTAAAATTTCGGACAGAATAGGGGTTCATGAACCCTAACTTTTCACAATTCACTTCAAATCCAAAATTGGTTGCATTTATCAACAATTCACACCCACTAGAGTCAAAGCCCCTTATTACCAACCATCAAAAACAACCATACCATCAAAATCATATGAAACCAGAAAATTCATCATAAAATGGAAAACTTCACTAAATCAAGCCAAACCAAGAAATAAATCATATATTCCAACACTCAAGCCACTTCTAAGCATACTATAACCATCATTAGGTGTAGTAGAGGTTCAAGCATCACTTACCAAGTATCAAGAGATGTAGAGAGGTGTTGGCCACCTTAGAGCTTCAAACAAACTTCACTAATACCCTTACTATCACTAGAAGGAAAGATTGTATGGAGTAAAAACTAAGTTAAACACTTGATTTGGTGGATTTGGACAAGTTGGAAGCTTGAAATGTTGAAGAATTTTCTTCCTTCTTGCAAGTGAGAGGTTCGGCCACAATGAGAAGAAAAATGGTGAATTTTGTGATTTTTTTGAGATATATAATCCTTTGGTCAAAAAGTCAAAAATGTGAATAGTATTTCTTAAGTCAACTCCAATGATCTTGTGACACTTGTCACTATCATAAATGCATTCCTATCCTTTCTTTTCTCTCTCTCATCAATCAAATCTCACTCTCTACTTATCTCTTAACACCCGATAAATTTTTCACAGTATCCGAAACTTAACCTTATTGGCCGAATTTTTCCAAACTTTTCGCACTAGTGGGTCCCACATCCAATAGATAATCTTAATTTTCTAAAAATTCACCAATGCTAGAAAAAACATCTAAAAACTATAATTGCTCATAAAATTCACCAGGAAAATATTTCTAAGCCAGAAAATGCAAAAAATTATGTAATTAAGGGGTAATAAACCCTAGGAAAAATATTAGGGTTTTACGGGTTCTCACAACACTAGTATAGGTCATAGCATTTTGTCTAGCTAGATGGCCTACTTTTGAGGCACTATGTCCCTATTTTTGGTTTAAGGGATTGTTTGTACATATTCGTTCAAACTTGTGTGCCATACTTTTGGAAGGCACCCTAACCTGTTATTTGTATGAACTTTGGTATGTGAATACATGCGTTAAGTGTTTTATTTTACTTTCCTTGATATTCGTGTTGATTTTACTTACAAAAGAAAAAAATATATAATAATAATAATAGTAATAAGTAAGTAAATAACAATATCTTCGCTTAATGACTTCATTTATATCGATAGGCATAACTAGGCTATGGATCGACGAGTTAGAGGTAGAGAACGTGGGAGATCAACTAGACAACACCCGAGGGTGGTGGTGATAGGGAACCTGAGGTCAATCAAGACCATGGTCAGGGAAACGTGAAAAAAAAATATAATAATAATATAGTAATAAGTAAGTAAATAAAATATCTTCGCTTAATGACTTCATTTATATCGATAGGCATAACTAGGCATGGATCGACGAGTTAGAGGTAGAGAACGTGGGAGATCAACTAGACAACACCCCGAGGGTGGTGGTGATAGGAACCTGAGGTCAATCAAGACCATGGTCAGGGAAACGTGGCTGGAGACCCAGTGCCACCGCAATCAATAGAATAACCGATGTTCTAGAGCGCATGACTGAGCACCAAGCCCCGGGGCAGTGCATCATCAAGGAGGCCCCATTGATACTGAGGAACAGGCATTAGAGAGATTCTTGAAGTTTGGACCTCCTAAGTTCTATGGAGGCCCAGAACCTAAGGTAGCAGAAGGTTGGTGGAAGAGGATCTCTGACATTTTTGCAGCTTTAAATTATACGGAGGAGAGACAAGTGACTTTTGCAGCATTCCAGTTTGAGGGAGCTACTCGTTCCTGGTGGAACCTAATTAAGGTCAATTGGGATAGGAACCATATTCCTAGGACCTGGACGAACTTCACTCGGGAGTTCAACGCCAAGTTTTTACCCCCTCTCATCCAAGAGAAAATAGAGGATGATTTTATCAAGTGTAGGCAGGGGGCGGTGAGTGTCGCCGAATATGAGATCCAATTCATGAAATTGTCCCGTTTTGCTCCTGAATTGGTAGCCACGGAACAAAGGCGTGTAAGGAGGTTTATGCAGGGACTAAACGTGAAAATCCAGGAGGGATTAGCTGCTGTTCAGATAGACACGTTTGCTGATGATGTTGAGAGAGCTTAGAGGGTTGAAGTTGCTAGAGCTCAAGTAAAATCCTTCCAGGCCAAGAAAAGATTTGGCCTAGCAGCAGTCAGGAGCGACTTATGCAAATGCTCCACGGTTAAAGTGGGTCGAGGAACGGGTGGAGTAAATAGTCCTGGAGCACCACGAGGCGCTCTAGCGAGAGGAACTGGGGCAAGAGGTGCAGGGGGTAGAGATATCGGAGCTAGAAGAGGACCAAGTAGAAGGAGTCAAACTAGGAACCGCAAGGAGGTTGCGACCACCCCTCAGGGAACTTGTGGGTATTGCAGGAGGGCTGGCCATACTGAGGACAGATGCTGGAGGAAAGAAGGAAAGTGCTTGAAGTACGGAAGCAGTGAGCACCAGATTTTCGGTTGTCCAAAAATACAAGAAGGTGGTACTCCGAGTGCTAGGCAAGCTACTTCTTGAGGAAATAGGACCAAAGTTCCGGCCAGGGTGTACGTTATAGACGATCAACCCGTACCTGATTCCTCGGAGTCGTGGAATGTACTCTTCCAATCTTTCATCGATTAGCTAGAGTACTAATTGATCCTGGCGCAACTCACTCGTTTGTGAATCTAATTTTTATGTCCGGAATTAATGTACAACCTGTTAAATTACCCTTCGATCTTGAAGTTAGGACACCTATGGTAATAGGAGTATAATCACTAGCCTGGCCTATAAGAACTGCGAATTCTGGGTTGGAGAGCGTAAGATACTAGTAGACCTAGTCAGTTTGGACATAAAAGGGTATGATGTTATCATAGGAATGGATTTCCTAGCTCATTACCATGCTAAGCTTGATTGTAGAGTAAAAGTGGTAGAATTTTGGATTCCTGGGAAAGCAACCCTGAAATTGGATGTGAAAGGTAGGTTAGCATCATCCGCATGATTTCGGGAGTTCGGGCAAGAAAAATGTTGTATAAAGGAGCGCAAGGTTTCTTAGCTTTCCTAATTAACGCTTCCAGTGACCAAGTGAAGTTGGAGGATGTACCAGTGATAAGGGAATTTCCAGATGTGTTTCCCGAAGAATTAAAAACATTACCTCCGGAGAAGAAGTGGAGTTTAAGATTGAACTAGTGCCGGGAATGGCCCCGATTTCTAAGACTCTGTACCGAATGGCTCCCGCTGAACTAAAAGAATTGAAAATACAATTACAGGATCTATTGGAGAGAGGTTTTGTTAGAGAAAGTGATTCGCCATGGGGCGCACCTGTTCTATTTGTTAAGAAAAAGGATGGAAGTTTGAGGTTGTGTATTGATTATCGAGGATTAAATGAGGGTACAATTAAAAATAAATACCCTCTACCATTGATTGACAGCTTATTTGATCAGCTGCAAGGATCAGTAGTTTTTCCAAACTGGACTTAAGGCAAGGATATTATCAGTTGAAAATTAAGAAGGAAGACATACCTAAGACTGCTTTCAATACAAGATATGGACATTTTGAGTTCCCAGTCATGCCATTTGGGTTAACCAATGCACCAGCTGCTTCATGGACTTAATGCAGAGAGTCTTTAAAAAGTACTTGGATCAGTTCGTAGTAGTCTTTATTGATGATATCCTAGTATATTCTAGGACACAAGCAGAACATGCTGAACACTTGGAGATAGTTCTGCAGATTAAGAGAGCATAAATTGTATGCTAAATTTAGCAAGTGTGAGTTTTGGCTGGATGAAATTTCTTTTCTAGGGCATAAAGTTTCTAAAGATGGGATTGCCGTGGATCCGGCAAAAGTTGAGGCGGTCACAATGTGGAAACAACCAGAAACTCCAACAGAGGTTAGAAGTTTCTTGGGTCTAGCAGGTTATTACAGGCGATTCATCAAGGACTTTTCAAGGATTGCTGAACCTATGACAGAGCTAACAAAGAAAAATAATAAGTTCATCTGGACTCCAAAGTGCGAGTTAAGCTTTCAAGAGTTAAAGAAGCGCTTAACATCAGCTCCTGTTTTAGCGTTGCCTGACGGAGTAGAAGGTTATGTCGTATACTCTGATGCCTCTAGGGAAGGTCTAGGATGCGTACTAATGCAAAAGGGTAAAGTGGTTGCCTATGCCTCTAGAAAATTGAAGCCTCACGAACAAAATTACCCAACGCATGACCTAGAACTGGCCGCAGTGGTTTTTGCCTTAAAGAAATGGAGACATTACTTGTACGGTGTGACCTTTGAAGTTTATACGGACCACAAGAGCCTTAAGTACTTGTTTTCCCAAAAGGAATTGAATTTGAGACAAAGGCGATGGGTAGAATTTTTGGAGGATTATGATTGTTCAATAAACTACCACCCAGGAAAAGCCAACATGGTGGCAGACACTCTAAGTAGAAAGGCCCATGTAGCAGGGTTAATGGTAAAAGAATGGGATATGTTAGAAGAGGTTAGTATTTGGAACCCTCGTTTGGAGAGATTGAAGATTTTATTTGGGAACCTGACGTTGAAATCACCGTTGATGGAGCGTATTAAAGAGGCACAGAAAACGGACCCCACGATCCAGAAAAGGTTGGAGAAAGTGCAAAACGGAGAAAACCTAGATTTTAAACTAGGTTTGAAGGAGAGTTAAGGTTTCAAGATCGAAATGTGGTTCCAGTTGATGAAGAATTAAGGAAAGAAATTCTAGAAGAATCGCATCGATCGAGGTATACTATACACCCAGGAGTGAACAAAATGTATCATGATGTGAAGGAATCATACTGGTGGGACGGTTTGAAAAAGGACGTGGCAAGGTTTGTACAAAAATGTCTGATATGCAACAAGTAAAAGCTCAACATCAGAAACCCTCTGGTCTATTGCAGCCACTAGAAATCCCTGAATGGAAGTGGGACCACATAACCATGGATTTGTAACGGGGTTGCCTCAAAGTCAAAAAGGATTTGATGCGGTTTGGGTAGTAGTTGATAGGCTTACCAAGTCCGCACATTTTGTACCTGTGAGTATGAGCTTTCCTTTGAAAAAATTGACCAAGTTGTACATAGAAGAGATCATGAGATTGCATGGTGTTCCTATAAGCATTGTGTCCGATCGTGATCCAAGGTTTGTCTCGCGTTTTTGGCAGAAATTTCAAGAGACATTGGGGAACAAGTTGAAGTTTAGTACCGCTTATCATCCCCAAACAGACGGGCAGTCGGAAAGGACAATTCAGACTTTGGAGGATATGCTGAGGTCGTGTATATTGGATTTTGGAGGTAAATGGAGTCAGTATATGGCCTTAGTAGAATTTGTTTATAATAACAGCTATCACGCTTCAATTCAAATGGCACCTTATGAGGCATTGTATGGGAGAAGGTGTGATCTCCGATTCATTGGAATGAAATAGGAGAGAAGAAAATTCTAGATCCGACGGTTATACCTTGGATGGAAGAAGCTCATGAGAAAAGTGAAAGTAATTAGGGAAAGGCTTCAAACTGCCCAGAGTCGACAAAAGAGCTACGCCGACACAAGGAGGAAAGATCTGGAATTTAAAGTAGGAGACAAAGTTTTCCTAAGAGTTAAACCGTGAAGGGCGGAGTAGTGTCCAAAAAGGGTAAAAAGCTAAAGCCGAGGTATATTGGACCTTTTGAAATTTTGAACGAATCGGTAAAGTAGCATATCAGTTGAGGTTGCCTACAAGCATGGTCAAGATTCACAATGTATTTCATGTTTCTATGCTCAAGAAATATCACCCCGACCCAAGCCATGTGTTGCAATTGGAAGGAATTGAAGTGGATGAGTCGTTAACTTATGAGGAAGGACCAGTTAGGATTTTGGAAAGAGAAGTAAAAGAATTGAGAAGTAAGAAAATTCCTTTGGTGAAATTCTATGGAAAAATCATGGAATAGAGGAAGCAACTTGGGAACTGGAAGAAGATATGCAGAAGAAATACCCTGAACTATTTTATTAGAAGGTGAGAATTTTGAGGACAAAATTCATTTAAGGGGGGAGGATGTGAGAACCTTCAAAAAAAAATAATATATACACATTGCATTTGCATTTTAGACTCTTAATAACCGTTACTATTGATTGGTTTTTAAATAAGTATGTGACCATAATTTTTATATATAAATAAGTTAATTGTGCAAATATTAAGTTACTTGAATCTTGCTAAGTTAAATTAATATTTCATGATGTAGAGTATTTTATTGCTTTAATAATAATTCCTTGAGTTTCAATAGCTAATTTTAAGTGTTAATAACGTTAGGTGTTAACGGAAACCTAGAATTAAGACGGAAATGACTTAGGTCAAAAACCTTATAATTATATTTAGGACGTTGAATCTCGATAATTTAATTTTGCGAGACTAGTGTGCTAGTAGGCTATCGAATTTCATTTGAGGTAAAATCTTGGAGTTAAGTTACGAATGAGGAATCTAAGTGGATGGTCGAACAAGATGTTAAAAGTCCAAATTAGCCCTCCTCCATTTCAAATTAACCATGCAGCCATGGAACCTTCTAGAACAAGCTCCAAATACAAACATTTCTAGTATGCCGGACTCATTCTTTACACTTAGCATTTCCATTCTAGCCGGTTCCATTTCCTTTTATCTACTCCACCATTCCACCAACCATAATGCCGGCTCACACCCCACTATCATACTCCACTATATCAACTGCATTCCACCACAACAACACTCAAATTCTATTCCTTCCTCCTGCCGTGAGCCGAGAGTGGAGTGAGAGAGAGAGGGAGCCGAGTCCTTCATTTTCCTTTCTTCCTGTCCGCAAGCTATAAAAAAAAAAAAGAGACCTGCTGTTCTGAATTCCTTCCATCCGTGAGCTGGTGAGGAGATTGAGTGCCAAACTTCCTCCATTCTAGTCGCAAGCTTGAGCAAGGGAGAGGGAGAGCTAGCGGGCTGCATGTTGGACTGCCGAGAGAAGAGAAATATTTCAGCTGCTAGTTGCGTGAGTTGAGCTTCCAGTTGAGGTAATTTCTGGACCTAGACTAGTTGATTAGAGGTAGATGATGTTGATTATAAGCATGCATGTGAGAGTTGTGCGGTTGGATGAAGAATTAGGACTTAGGAAATCTGATTTTGAAGAAATTGGAACTGTCCGAGAGTGTGAGCTGGAATTTCAGCTTTTGTTTGATTAATTTGTGGTAATCTGAGTTTAAATATGTGTTTAGCTAACTAAAATCTGGATGATTAAGCTTTGCATGAGGTTAATTAGCTTTGATTAAGCAAGAAAATTGAACGAAACCAAATCTGCTTGCATGCAAGCCAACCGAGAGCCGACTTGGATGAATTTCTGGTTGGTTAGTGATTTTGATGTTGTCCGACCTTGGTTTTGGATTAAAATGATAGATAGCTGTTTATTTGGTCATGCATGTAGCTGATGAACTGTGATAAAAAAAAAAATCTGAAGTCCTATAGTTATTTTGCTGGAATTTTTTTTCCAGGTTGCCGTATGAAGGAAATGGTGAAGTTTCCAGCTATCTTTATGAATTTTGGTTTTGAAGCT